GTTCAATCCCAGCACCACACACACACACACACACACACACACACACACACACACACACACACACACACACACACACGATCTACCCTTTTCTTTTTAAGCTAGAGGAAAAATATAGTAAATATAACGATAAAGAAAACTGACTATGAGCTTAAAGGTCAGAGGAAGAAGCTCCTAACTGAGTCCTTTTGACTCTCTGAGTTCTGTAGAAGTCACAGGCAAAAATCCCAAACAGCAAATCAAACAGAAATGGGACAAGAACAGAAGTCATGGTGCTGAGGTACAAAACTGGGAAGAACCCACCCCGGCCACCACCAAGGTCATCTTCCCATGGTGTGTCCTGGCGCGGCTCCCCCTCGGTACCGTAGCCAGATCTGGCTTGGCTCAAAGATTTGGGGGGGGGAGGGGCTCAGTTTGGGGAGCACTGGGTCGTTGTGGTGTGAAGGAATCAAGGTAATTTCGTCACAACATCAGCGAACCAAGGATTCATTTCCTGTTTGTTTTTTCCCATGGCCATCAAGGGGAACGTGGGATTCTAGGGAAGGTAGAGATACTTCTTAGGCAGTTATTGAACAACTTTGCAGGAGTCTGCGGGGCAACCAGAAAGTCCTTACTATTTGTCTGCTCTAGTCCTCTGTAAATGGAGGCGGTGGACTTGGGCATCTCCAGGGCCTGATCATGTCTTGGAGGGAGTCATGTCGACAGATCGGGAGACGCAGTCTCCTTTGCCTTTTCCAGGTTCACGCCAAGCAATATTTAAGTTTCTTCTCTCCATCCTCTTCCATTGAGTCTTTAACCCAGATCCAGGGAGATGACCCTTAGGGAAGGGGCCGTCATCGAACCCCTTCACGCCATGGACCGAGGGTTCCCTGGAGCCTCCCTCTGTGGCCTTTAACAGGGGCTGGACCCCCTCTGGACGCTCTTCCCACAAGTGTCACAGACCGCGCCAGGCGATGCTCCAGTAAGACCCAGAAGGCGGGTTCTCTGGCTTGGAGGACGCTCACCTGGGCCACACTAAATCCGAAGCCATAGACCATGTGGGGCGAGGTGTGCAGCCTTGGTGACAAGGGGCGCAGCATTGGATTTTCAAGTAAGTCTAAGTGTTTCTATTGTCTTTAAAACGACATGTGTCCAGTTATTAAAAAAAGTTACAAAATACAAATGCCCATGTTAACTTAGCTAGTTCCAGACAGCATTACATTCGACAACATAGAAAAGTCCAAAGATCTCCAGTTATAAGCGCAAGACGAAGGAACGTCACCGATCACTGACTCAGGTCACCGATCCATCCCCACCTCCAGACCCCCTCCCCTCAGGACCTCGGGTTTTCTACATCGTGCAAGACTTGTCCGTGGGGCCCTGGGCAGGCGCCGCGGGGCCCACGGTGGGGTTTGTTTTTGGAAGAACAGCGGGCTTTGGCCTTAGGGCTGGGGGCTTCAGCTGCACGCCCATCCTGGGCGCCACCATCGGCTTGAAAGTGCTCATGGTATCACTGGAGGAGCTCGTGCTGCGGCGGATCTGGGGCTCCGAGCCCCGGAGGGTGGCCACGTTGTGCAACGGGCTGAGAGATTCCATGGACGTCGCAGGGGTGGGCGCGTTTTTCACCTGCTCCAAGGTGTCCAGCACGACGTCGGGGGTGTGCTTCACCGTGCTCTGTCTCTCCAGCTCACGGAGTTCGTTCAAAGCAGTGTTCATGGTCTCTTCGATATCCTGTTGGAAAGGGAAAAAAAAAAAAAAAGGATAGGCTCATCTTTATAGAAACAAAGTGAACAGATAGGTCAAAAGAGCATGGAGATTTAACTTTATAGTCTGTAGAGTGTGTGCACTGTACCGTAGGCCTTTGGTGTGCTTCTAAATGATACTTCAGAAGCAATGCACATGGTCAAGCAATTGCCATTCTGAGGTACTAGGCAACCTACTGAGGTCTCTTCTAACTTGTGCGGTATTGATCAGAATTCTATTTCGTGTGTGTGTGTGTGGGGGGGGCATGTGTGGGCTGGAGGTCAACCTCAGGTGTTATTCATCGGGTGCTGTCCATTTTTCTTTTGAGTGTCTCACTGTCTTGGAACTCATTGACTTCAGGTAGGCTGACCAGCCAGCAGACCCTAGGGATCTGCCTGTCTCTGCCTCCCCAGGGGCTTTGTTTACAAGCGCACACCACCACACCTCGATTTTTAAAGTTGGTTCTGAGAATGGAGCAGCCATCTTCCTGGAAGTGTGTCAAGAACTTTACCAATTGAGCCTTCTCTCCAGCCCCTCTTGAGATGTATAGAAAAGTGAGAACTGTTTATAATAAACAGAATTATTGATATGAAAATTTAGTTAGAAATTTGCACATATTTAGGGAGTTCTGTGTGATTTACAGATATATATCTATATATCTCTCTCTATATATCTCACATGTACATAAATGTGTGTGTAATGACCAGTTTAGGTTATGATGTATATCCTCATATGCTTACTACTTCTTTGTGTGTGAAACATTCAAATTATTTTCTAATTGATAAGGCTTAAATATTTGATTTTAACCAATTGTGGTGGTTTGAAAGAAAACGGCCCCCATAGGGAGTGGCACTATTAGGAACCTCCAGCTTGCCTCTATATGATCCAGAAAGCCCCATTCCGGGCTCGCTCGCTCTCCAAACCCCACCCACTCAGTCTCCGAACAAAGGAAAGGCACCAAAAAGCCCCGTTCACAATCCTAGTTCTTAGCAGCTTTCTCCGCTGAAGTTGCCAGCCGCCCAAGTCCCCGCCTGAACGCTCGATTTTGACCAGATTTGGGCACAAACTCACCTATCATCCATAAAAATCTCCCTGCTTTCATTTGGGGACACAACTCCTCTGGCCTCAATCTCTGGGACCAGAGAAGCCGTCCGGGAGTTGCTCTCAATAAACCTGTTGTTCTACTTCTCCATTTCAGCTTGATCTGGCTTACTGTGTTGTTGGCGGAGAAACTTATTATCAGGAGACAGAAAACCTATTAATTTACCTTAAAAAATGTATTGTTCTTTACTGTTGTGCTGCTTTGCTTTGACTGGCCTCCCTCATTCAGAAGCCCCATTTCGAATTCCTGGAATTCATTCTATGGCTTCAGCATACTCTTGTACTGTGACTCTCAATTGTGTGTGTGTGTGTGTGTGTGTGTGTTTTAATTCCACTTACTGAGTTCTTGAGGTGCTTGGGTTTTGTTTCATGATTTCTATCTCTTAGGTCACGAAAGACTATTTTCTGAATTGTCTTCACTTATTCTCAATTCTGCAATGGCCATTATTTTGAATTTGTTTTCAAGGCTGTGAATTTCCTTTTCTTTAGGGTCAGCTAACAAGAGTTTCTGTGATTCCCATCCCCTTTGTATTTTGCTGGTTCCCCCCGCTTTGTTGATGATCTGTACATCTGGTGCAATATTCACATTTTCAAATTTTCTAGGTTAGTTATTCTTTGTTGAGAGGCCTAACACCTGTTGTTGGATGTTGTTGACCTTGATTCTAGACGGACTCAGGAATGTGGCTCCTGTGTACATCATCTACAATCCTTGCCAGCGAGGTCTATGATGGCATCCCTGGTCCAGGATGCAGGCATCTGTGACTGCAGTGGCTTGACAGTTTTGCTGGTGTGTGTGTGTGTGTGTGTGTGTGTGTGTGTGTGTGTGTGTGTGTGTGTATAGAGCCACTACCTGATTGGTTGTTGGAACGGCATGGGTGTATGCGGGCACTGTGGGCCATAGCTGTCTGCCTGGCCTTTTGGTAGGCTGGGTTGCCACCTGGCTATGGACATGGCTCTTGCAGGGGCCAGGGGGCAGAACTGTGCCTGGCTGTCTACAGACCAGTGTGGCATAGGTGTGGGTCCCATGAGCTGTGTGTGGGTTGGACTGATGGGGACATCAGGATGCTGCCTGGATGGCTATGGGGCCTAGGCTCTGAGCAGCCAGGAGTATGGTGCTGCAGCCCATCAGGTGAGCATGGTAGATGGCAGCGGAGATACTGTGTGGTCACCGGGCACTAGAGATGTCTCTCTAGCAGGAGGGTCCTATGTCACAGCAACTTAGGTCACCATGGCTATATGTTACTATTCTGTGGCAGCACAGCTCTGTGAACTCTGGGCGACTCTCCCAGTCAGTCAGTCATCTGCAGCAGCCACGGGGACTTCCCAAGTCAACTCACCTTCTCCCGTGAGAAGTCCCTCTCAGCTCTGAATCCACTACATGGGGGAGACAGGAGATGAGCTGCCTAGTTTTGTGTCCCCGTGACCCAGGCTAGGGTAATTTTGGAAGAGGGGACCTCAGTTGAGGAAACACCTCCACTGGATTGGCCTGTGGACAAGCTTCTGTTGCGGGTTCTTAATGAGTAATTGGTGGAGGAGGGCCCCGTCCGGGTGGGTGGTACACCCCCTAGGCAGGTGGTCTTGGGAGGAGCAGGCCGGTAAACAGCACTCTGCCATGGCCTCTGCGTTAGTTCCTGCTCCCCTTTGAATTCTTGCCTCGACTTCCCGGGATGCTGGACTACAAGCCGTAACATAAAATAATCCCTTTCCTCCCCAAGCTGCTTTTGGTGTTTCATCGCAGAAACAGAAGCAGTAAGACAGAGGTGGTGAGTTCGACTTGAAAATCCACAGGGGTCATGCCGCTTCCCCGAGGAGTACATCGGGGCACTTAGTCATTTTAGTGGGATGGATTACAGTTGTCTATTCTTTCTCACGGTTTCCTCTTATTTTGGGGGGGGGCAGGGACAAGTGACAGGTAACCCTATTTTGTCATTTTCTCCTATCATGAAAAATCTGAGGATCAAACTGGAGGCACACTTGTCAGGCCTAAGCAATGGAAGCTTGTAAAGGAAGGGATCTTACGCATGTGTGCCTGATTTAAAAAGAAAAAAAAAAGCCAAAGTATGCACAAAACCCCTGCCAGATCTATAACCTTGACAAAGGCCATTGTGCTCTTACATAGAAAGTCCTTCTACAAGGACATCGATTCAGCAGGGACATCTGCCTCGCAACTGTCTGTCCAACCTTGGATGGACACCAGCCTTGTCATTTATGAGCCCTTGTAGCCAAGGACGACTCTTCCAGATAACGTGGTCCTCTTTCGCCTTTCAAATGTTTGTGTCTCCACCTCTTAGGATATGCTCCCAATTTACAACAGCAACACCTTCCCAAAGCAATGTCTCTGCTGTTCCCACATAAACACCATCATTCTTTGAAGAATGTCTCTGGTTGTCACTTAGGCTGACGATCTAGAAACATGAAATACTTTTTGCACGGTGGTAAAATTCTCTGGGGGCTACCATTATACGAATCGCCCTGTGACTGGAACACTGAGCAAGGGCTGCCCATCCTTCTGAGAGAAACCGCAGCTCCAGCAGGGACATCAGTTAATTAAATCGGTACTGCTCTGCCAATGCACACTTTCAACTGCTGGACTGATGGAAATTCCACGAGTGGGTCTAAGAACATTTCACTGTGTCTTTTGCACAGTCGTTCAGTGTGTCTTTTGCACAGTCATTAATTAACATTGATACAAAGGAGTTGTAGTGGTCTGTAGCACAGTCGGGCAGCAATAGTTCATAGTTCCATAGTTTATAAAGGGAAACTAAGTGAGCCGCAATGCTGGTGTGATAACTACACATACCTATATCATATTATTATATTGCCTCCTATAAATATGTAAAGTTGTTATATCAACAAAGAAAAAGAATTGAAATTGAATACATTTAATTAAAAAAATACCGTTTTCCTTATATTTATCAAATATATCATTAATCCAGCTCAGTGTAAACGGAGAATTATAAAAATTTATTTCAAAGGGCAAAGTGTGTCCCATTGAAGGACTGATAAAGATAATGCATGCTTTCTCTCCATATACATATATGTATATAAATACATACTCATAAAAAATGGAGTACCACTCAGAATTGAAAAGAATCTTGGCAAATGCAACTGTGTGTGTGCACCTTGAGTACCTTGTGCTATAGGGAACAAAATAGTCACAAAAATATAAATATTGTATGCATCTACACATACGAGGTATGTGAATTAGTCAAATTCACAGGAACAGAGAGTGGATGCCAGGAGGACTTGGGGACCGTTGTTTAATGAGTAGAAAGTATCAATTGTGTACAGTTCTGGAGAGTTATTTCATGAGAATAGAAATATTCTTTACTGAACTTGGTTAAGATAGCAAAATTTATGATTTTTTTTTTTAAAGCAGAAGTTCAAAATACAGGCAGTGTTGAGATGGGGTGAAAACCCTGCCATGTTCTGACTGAAATGCTTCTTCCCTTCATCCCCGGGACTTTGGCCGTGCACCTGGACCACAATCCTTGCTCCCCCACAGTGTAACGGCCTCCCTTGTCCTTCCCCACTGTACGGCCAGCACCTCGGGAAAACGGCAGCATTTAACCTGTTCGTCAAGAAAGCCTTTCCCAGATCCTGCATCGTCAATGCTCAACACGTATTTGCTAAATGAATCAGCAAAGACATGATATTAAATCACAGTCTCCAATACAGAATAAAGCCAATCATGATACGATGATCATCTGTAGACAGCACGCTCTCCCAGTCTACTCAAGGATCCCACTGACTTGCTCGGTCAAAGGACTTGCATGTTTTTGTATGTATGAGCATCACTATGAGATGCTCTTTTGGCCCCGTGGGAATCTTTGAAGGCTGGAGATGGGCAAAGGACAGAGCTAGAAGCCGTTTTGTGAGGGTGACATAATACTTAATTTTCAAACAATTACTTTCATATGTGATTTCCTTTACTGTTAAACATGGGGATAAAACCCAACCATACAAACCAAATATTTGCCCCAGACAGAATGTATAGAAACTGGTTTATCTGTGACTTTTGTCTTTATGATTTCCAATGAAAGGATTTCCTGGTCCTGGCAGTAAAAGGGTTAAATAGTTTCATTATGTCTTCTTACCCTCCTCAAGCTCCTAAATCTGTCTCTAAACCGAATCACATTTCACGTGTTTATTACAGCAGTGATGTTCGGGGGTTCTCCAGTCATGACTTTCAGCTATGATTAAATGGAGCTGGTTCTAAAAAGGTCTTGAAGGGCTTTGCAGAACCCTCTAAATAGAAAAACTCAAAGGTCAAAAGCCTTTTTGATTTTTGCCGAGAAATTGCTCGATACTTAAAATTCATTTAATTGTTTACAAATGCCTTACACTCCTCAAATAGCCTGAGTTGCCATCCAAAATTCTCTGTCATATCATTAGGATACTCAAAATAGTTTGGGAATGGGTCATACCAAGGATTCCTGGGTCCTTTTTTTTTTTTTTTTAAAAGACTAATCCATTTTCTTGTTTCTCACTCATTCTTGATCCACTTAATCTTAAAGCTTTGGAGAGCTGGGAGATGGTTGAAATTACTCATGTCCAGGACCAAATCTATCCACTTTCTCTGTTGCTAGATAACAATTTCTGGACCAGAGGGCCAATGGTGGGATGGGGAAACTCATCCACACTGCTTTACCTCTGCTTTGCCAGTTCTGATCACTACAGATGAACGACAGAGCCCCTCTGTGAGGTCAGTGTTGGGAAGGGCAGAAGAGAGGTACAGAAGATCCAGCATTACGGGTCTTTAAATGGCTAACCATTGTTGATTACATTATTTATTGACAAATCTATCAGTTGCCAAGTTGGAAGTGTCATCTTTGGTTTATATTAATTTACTCTGTTTCTGGGTTGTCTGTTCTGCAAGCTTTAGATTGTATATGCTCTGTTAGGAGGTCCTTATTCATTCAGTGTTTTCCTGGCTGTTCACCGCGGAGGGGTATGAATGCCCTGGCTCCTCCATTTCTCCCACATCTACTTAAATCAATACGAATCTAATATGCCTAGAATCTAATCTTCCAGCAGCAAATGGATCATCAAGAGATTCACGGCCAAGCTTTAAACTAGTCAGTGAGATGACTTCCTTTGTTTTCTTTAGTTATGGCTATATAAAAATATAGTTTGCACATTTTTAAATGTTTCATATTGCCTTTATCACACGCTTAAGGACTTAAAACACAACATCCAGTTAGAAGCACTATACCTGAGCAATTGTTTCTGGGTCCAGTGGCTTGTGGTCATTGAAGCTGGTGTACTGCCCCGATGACGTGGACCTCCTGATAGGTGGGCTGTCAATCTTCTTGAGGGAGTCATGCCGGCTGATGTTGGTCAGGCTGCCATGGCCCGGCCGGCGCCGCCTCTCAGGACTGTCGTTATTGAGGCCACGATTTTGCAACAGACCCCTGGGGTGACTGGCTAGGTTTGGGGACCCCAGGTCAATTGAGGAGTTAGAAAGAGCATGTGGGGGGTGGAGGGGACAATGGCCATCACTGGTCCTGCCAGGACGTCTTCCTGGAGGGGGTGGTTCTCCTCTCTTTCTTTGCCTAGATGTTCGGTGAAGAAGAAAAGAAAACAGAAAATCTTACGGCACTGGGAAAATACTTTAAGGCTGACTGTATGACTGCTCCTCATCGCCCCTGCAGAAGGGAGATCAGGAGCCGATGACCAAACGTCACTCACCTCGCTAAATAGCCATCAGAATGGCGGTCGGTGGGAGAGTTCATGTCCTTGGATGAAGACTTGTCTTCGGTGACCGGCCCGCTGCTGGCCTCACTGTCGGCTTTTTGGCTCAGAGTGTCTGAAAATGTATCATCCCTGAAACAACGGGAAGCAAGTGAGAGAGCCTTTGGATTTGATGAGTGGGGGAAAAATAAGGGATGGCATTTATGTAAGTCTTTTGCTAACTCTACTCTCCTTGGTTCGTAGGTTTGGTTTGTGTGTGTATGTACATGTGAGTGCAGATGCTATGGAGGCCAGAAGAGGGCACTCTAGCCCCTAGAGCTGAGGTACAGGTGCTTGGTTCCCAACACCCAGGTTTGGTGGCCTCAAACTCACAGAGATCCACCTGCCTCTGCCTCCCGAGTGCTGGGATGAAAGGTGTGTGTCACCACACTTGGCTGATGTAGTGTGTTATAGATGATGACTATTCTTTTGTATGCCTGAAATTTTCTGGCAACATTATTATGTTTAGAATGAAAATCTACTTGAGGGTGCTGGGAAGACATTCAAGGTCAAGAGCACATGCTGCTCTTGCAGAGGACTTGAGTTTGTGAGCCTGGGCTACAGAGTGTGTTCCAGGACAGTCAGAGCTCAGAGTTTTGAAAGCAACAACAAAAACCCCCCCTACACCAAGAGGCAACTGTGGTTAAGATTTTAGGAATATAGCTTTCAATACTTTGCTCCTGTGTCTAGAATGTCTATGAGTATGTGCATATATACATTATTACATTATGGATAACAGGCCCCTCTGTTTAGTCGTTTAGATAGACATGTTTATTCAGTTGCCACGTTACACACTTTCTTATTTCTAAAGCTATGTATGTCATTAAGTGTTTCTACTCACTTTATGTTGTGTGACTAACTCCACTTGGGCCACTGAAAGGTTGGGCCTACTCACATGTCCTGCACCACGATGTACTGATGAGGCACAAGCCCGTCGATGCCGTTGTGTCTGCCTTCCCACCAGTCCTCAGAGGCGCGGTGATACAGCAGTAGGGACGCACCCTTCTTGAAGGACAGCTCTCTAGCAGACCGGCCGACATAGTCAAACTTGGCTATTGCTTCGATTGGCTCACACTCTACAGAAAAAAAAAAGACAGAAAATGCAGAGGGATGGGGAAGTCAGGAAGGCATGATGCTTTCTCTGAAAGGTCAACGTGAGGCTTTAGACGCAGGCCGAACAGGGCAACCAACACACTGGAGGCAATAAGAGGCAGCTGATGGAGAAGAGGGAAGAGAGAGGGAGGGAGAAATACCTCTGGCTGTCACCAGTTTTCTAGGCAAAGAAAAATTATACACTAGGTCTTAATTTCCTCAACCCCTTATTTGAGAAACAATGACAGTATAATAAAAAGATTTTGACTTTGCAATATGATATAGAAAATCTCTCCTTGGTTGTAATATCCTCCACAGTGGTTCTAATCTTCTTTTGACATTGATGGAGTATCCTTGCAACATGTTAGTAGCATTTATAAGAGAAAAAACATGATTCCAGCAAACAGGCTTTATTAGATTTAAAAAAAAAAAGATACACAAAATCATCATGATAAATGCTATTTAAATACATTTATTTTTCTTGTGGGCTCTTTTTGTTTTGGGGTATGAAATCTCAAAGTTACCATCAAAACTCAAGAAAACTTTCTTTCACTTCATAAAAATTTTAGATTTAATTATGAAGCATTCATACAGTAGATGGCCCTCTATTTGAAGTAATATTCAGTTTCAAAAACTGTTTTCTGGGGATCAAGAGACACTGGTGGGAGAGACTGTGATGGAGTAAAGAAAAAGCCAGACCTCAAAGATTGCAGACTGTACAATTCCATTCATTCAAATGACATAACTGTAGATAAGCAGAACAGACCAGTGGCTGCCACGGGCTGTGGTAGATGAGGTGATGGAGGAAGTCGTTGTGGCTAGAAAGGGTAGCACGAGTTTCCTTTTAATGCAGGCTGCCTTGATGTTGCCTGTGATTGTGGTCACATAAATCTGTCCGTGTGATAAACGACACAGCGCTAAGTGACCCCGCACACTCTGGTGCAATGTGGACATGGTCCACGGCCTGTGCCGGCATCAGTTTTCTGCCTGTGGCATCGCACCAGAGGTGTGTATGGACAACATTCCCATTGGAGGAAACAGAGATGCATACACATGTCTCTGTGATACTTCTTAAAACTGCAAACAAATCTGTAATCTCGGGGGGGGGG